AAGGGGTGGGGGGGGGGAGGGGCGCGTTGCAGGCTTGAGTTTAGCTAGGCTAGAATTTGCATAATAATGAATCATAACCAGGAAACGTGTTTTAAAATATTGCTCGCGAAGCGTACGCTCGCTCACAGCGTAGGTCTATGTTGAATGCTGATTGGTCATTTCGTCACCCGAAGTCAATGCAAGACCCCCGCAACGATTAAAGCCCGGCTTAGAAAAGTTAAACACGGTGGCGCGCCAGGCCTAGTTACTATAGGAACACAGCCCGACTTGAGATAAGCCACCTAGTTCAGACTGACAGGTGGATAAACCCGGTGAGTTAATGCGGGTTTATCCACCTAGTCTGAACTAGGCCACTACGTGTTCACTCTGTGTACACTCAGTGCAAACCTCTCTCTAATTTCGCAAAAAATTCAATAGCCAATACTAAGTGAACACATAGTCTTCCACTCTGTTGCACTCCGTGACATTTTTCTAAGGGTGAACTTCATATCAATATACGTTTGCTCTTCTCAATAATGAGTGAACACATACTTCCACTCTGTTGCTCTCCGACATTTTCCAAAGGGTGAACTTACACGTCATTTTATATTTGCTTTCCTCAATTATGTTTCCTTGTAGAACAACAATTATTTTTATCTAAATATTTTGTGCCATCATAATATTTGTCTTGCTAATCCACAACAGTAACTAATTATTTTTTCTTTATTTTACAGTTCAGTTTAACGTGCAGTCGATTAATGAACAATTAGGTCTGGGTATCTTGCTTGCTGTCCATTCAAAGAAAAAACCCATTGCAGGGGTATGTACATTTAAACAAAGGATGAATAATCACAAAAGCTCTATAAGACACAAATGTAATCTACCTTAACACATTAACGGACTTAGACACACCAATAATGATATGAGATGCATCATTATCATTGTAGATACCAACTTTAGGTCTCTCGGCGAAAGATGTGTAGAGATTAAATAGATTTTGAAACAACTTAAGACTTATAAAATAGGAGCTAATAAGGACCGAAGTTTCGCTTAAGGCCCCAAATTCACCAAATATAGTTTAGTTACTCTATTGAAAGTTTATAAACTTCTGTTTTTATTTATCAGTCATCGCCACTTTCTTTCATGATCATTTTTGGCTTAATTATTCCAGTCCCATTCGATAATCGGTCATTGTTTCCCTGGTGGGCATCTTGTACAGGGAAAGAATGTTCCCTTCTTGCCTACTACCAGACTCTTTACGTTCAAAATTATGAATTATTGTAATTATCTCCAATACTTGGATGTGAATGTTCCTCTTCATTTAGGCTCTATTCATTCTGACTTACATTGTGTATAAATACAATACCCATGATACCATGGCCTACCTATCGTTATCGCTGAATTGTTTATATATATTATACTGTTTGGTGTCATGTGTAATAATGATGATGATGATGATGATAAATAATAATAATGAAAACAATACTGATAATAATGATAATGATAATAATAAAAATAATGATAATAATATTGATATTGATGATAATGATAATAATAATAATGATAATAATAATAATAATAATAATAATAATAATAATAATAATAATAATAATAATAATAATAATAATAATAATCCCCTGGGAAAATGTTGATTCCTAGATGGCAGGAAATAAGCTTCTTCAAAATTCTCATTTTCTTATTGTAACATTAAAAAAAAAAAAAAAAAATCAGCTCACGGGTCCTGGAAAGTTAGGTCTAGAATTTTTTTCTTTTTTGGACCCAGGAACCAATACCCCCTCCCCCAGATCCGCCAATGTGAATGGCGAGAAAATTTAACTCGGTTGGGGACTGGATAAACATTCTCTTTCCCATCCTTCGCCTCCTTCCCTCTTTCATTTTTTCCAATCATACAAAAATCTCCAGGCATTATATATTTTTTGCCAAAAAGTTGGGGGGGTCCACCCCCTCCCCCGGTTCCGCCGGCCCGTTAAACACTGTGGGTGAAAGTTTTTTGCAAAAAAAAAATAGGGGGAGGGGCGTACGCCCCTTACATCTAATCCCCATTCTAATATTTAACAAAGGGCCCAGAAATCAATTAAGCCAATCAGCTGTTGAATGTATAGGTCTCAAGTCACGCACCCCAATGGCAATAAATCGTGCTTTATTTAGGCTACTAGCTAGGCTAGTCTAGCCTAGATGAGACCCTAGCGCCCCGCCTAGGGCCTAGGCTAGCCTACCTACAGCATTGAAGATCACCAGTGTTTAATTATAGAATGTAAAAGTTCTATTGAATTAAAGTAAATTGAATTAAAATGTTCTACCAGATTGAACGATCAAACTATCATCTGTTGAGAGAGATAACGTTACATGCCATCCTGTAATGTTGGCGAATGTCTAGGGGATCATCTTACTAATTCAACACTCACTGCATGTGGAGAGCTGAAAACTAGCTACAGTGTACTTTTGGGCTGTGATACCTTCTGTGCAGGGATCGTCTCAAAAATTCCGTTTTGTTTTTTTTTTTAACTTAAAGAAAATGTTTTTTCTTGCTAATTTTTCACGAGACAACCGGGCAACATGAGTATAAATAGGCTAGACAGTGTACTTTTGGGCTGTGATACCTTCTGTGCAGGGATCGTCTCAAAAATTCCGTTTTTTTTTTTTTGTTTTTTTTTAACTTAAAGAAAATGTTTTTTCTTGCTAATTTTTCACTAGACAACCGGGAAATATGGGTATAAAATAGGCTAGCCCGGAGCGTGTTTTTTTTAATCCACAAACAAGACGATCGGGTTTAAGAAGGGGGGGGGGGCGCGTCGCAGGCGCCCCTCCCCCAATCCGCCCTGCAACCTACTCGCAGAAATGAACAACCTACTCACAGAAACTACAACGTACACGCTGTAAAGGACAACGTTAGATTTGCACAGAAACGTACAACGTATTAGCAAACACAGACAACAAAAGACACTCACAGAAACGAACAACCTACTCACAGAAACGAACAACGTAGTCGCAGAAATGGATGCGCACAGCCCACTCAGAAAAAGACAACGGAATCGTCCATTTCAAGATAGGTCAGCAAAATCTAGCATCTTAAAGACCCAGTGTCTGCAAATTTTCCCAAAAATGACATTTTTTTTTTGGAAAATATGCATATACATTACTTTAATTTTCATATAAACCTCTCATTTCATTTTTTCGTCATGAAATACATATTTTTTTACGATTGATGATAAAAACAATATGAGAAATAATGTAATACCTGCGAAGCGACTGTCTCAGCTATGCTGTGCTTCGACGATAGGCCTAGCTAATAGATCGGATCCGTTTAAAAGCTACTGAAATGTAAACAAACATAGTGCGGCTGGCTGGCCGGGTAATCGCTTCATAACTTTGGATAGTATCAAGTTCTGGACGATAATTTCAATGTTGTAAGTATTGATTATGCGATTATGCTCTTCTATAATTGGGGTATTTGCGGTATAGCCTCGATGATAACGAGTTTTTTATGCAAGTATACCCCATGTGTGTGGGTGTGTGTGAGTGAGTGACAAAGGCATATAGTAGTAGGGCTAGGTCTCAGATTACTACTACTGTAGTACGTACCTTTGTTGGGCGAGCTCAGCCAAGGTTATTTAGAAATTTTGTGTGGGTTGTGGCCTGCCAACACTCGTGCTTATAGATTTTAGCAAGTTAAAAATGTACTGCTATTCGGGCAGATGGATGGACGAACATAAAAAAAAATAGTATACCAATCATGTAGGTAGGCCCATCTTCAGGTGTTGTGGATGTAGTAAATACTTGTGTGTATGCATGGGGTATAAACAAATTCTGTAAATTATCCATATGGCACTCTACATTCTGCATGTGCAGTGTAGGCAAAGATTATTGATTTTAGAAATTCTTTTTGCTGTCAATATCCCATCTATAAACTAATTAACTATATTTACAATGTGTGTACTGTTATATATGCTTTATGGAGTAATAATTCAGAATGAGAGACAAGATTCAGTAGATATTTTCCGTTCATATTTTATTGCTGCGAAGCAGCCAATTCATATTCTTGACAGCAATTTGACCTTTGAAAGGTCATTGTTTGTCAAAAAACAAGGGCCTAAGACGACTGAAAAGCGGAGTTTCCTTCTTTCGTTCTGCATTTAAGTTGCTTAATGTATTGTCAGCCTCTGAGCTAAAACAGTTGTGTCGAGATGCTCAAATGAAGGTGTCTGGTACGAGGCGGGAGATGGTTTTGCGCCTACTTGGCATAAAAGATGTGAAGAACAGAATTTTAAGAACTTTAATTCCCTTTTTTCGTTCTGCCGGGTAAAATCAATTACATTAGGCATGTCGCGCTAGCCTATCCTACTCTAGGCCTAGACTAGCTAGGATGGTATAGGCCTAGCCTTGAAGGGACGAAGGTCCCAATGAAAAACAACGTCGCTCCTTGATAGCTAACGTTGTCTATTTAACATCACAATAATTCATTATTAGACATAGTTGTTTTTTGAATTATACTCCACAAATCTCAGCCGATACCTCGCACAACTCGAGTAACGTCTCGTATCTAATGTCTTGACATCATGGCTCGCTGGCTCACACTTGCGATGTCTCGGACTTGTGATCAAATAGCACGCTGGCTCGCACTTTGGCAACACTCTTTGGCAGTCAACTCGCCCCTAGAAAACCCGCCCTTGGAAACTTGCCCCATAAAAAAATGTACACTTCCTAGACCATGCAGTCTTCAAAATAAAAATTGTAACCTTTTTAATCAACTACATTTTCCACATACATAGACATTTTTGAAACTTTATTAAAAAAAAAAACCTAAACCATAATTACCACTATAGACACTTTTTGACAAAAATGAAAAATTACGACTTTGTTACCCAATGAGAAGTGTTCTGATATAGACAATGGGTCGTGTCTCATATTATTTGTTATATTTTTATTATTCATTATTTTCAATTGACTCGCATAAATAATTTTGTTCGAAGAACATTTATATGCAGTTGTACTTCGCAGCACTGCACTTGCAATTTGCAATTTCTAGTATTATTGTATAAACTTTTAATATGATAAACATACAGTTCAGTATATAGTAGTTACAAGAATATTGATACTTTTTAATTTCAGACAATGGCACTATACGTTTTTTTTTATGAGATGCAGCTGGAATTTTCCAGAACCATGAAACAGGATTTTCGACAGCTTGCACAATTGGAACCAGAAGAGCTGAATAATCAAACCGCCATCACAGCTACCGTCCATTTACGTATTAAAGGCACCAGTATCTGATTATGGGGATAGATGAATTATTCCCTCATTTTGCGTTTAGAGGAATCGGGATGGATTTCCGTCTCCAACAGGTACATATTAAGGGTTTGATCTGAATGTACAATAAAGCTATAATAGTGTAACATTGATATTATTTAATAATCGAGTATTGTGTGTGCACATATCTCGTGAAATCTACTTCTTCTAGTCATGTATCAGTTGTGCGCGTTTGCACTTGCCACAGCTAATTTAAAGTGAGGCGCATATCATATAATATTGTTAATAACAACTAGTAATAGTTTTACAGTGATTACTTCTTGACTGTTTTTTTACAACAGATTTATAACTGTTTAGTTCAAGTTTTGTTCAGAGCTGGACACGATTGCCAGTTCGTCTGTTGCTAGTGAATAAATCATCAACCAATCCGTTATTTTCTTTACATTACTTTTTTGTTGTCCTTTTGTATTATACATTCTTTGTTGGAAGTGCTGTAGGGTGTGTTGCATAGACCTAGCCTACTTTACTCATATTGACATTTCATCCTTGAACATTACACTTCTGAATCCGGAGCAGCATTATCTACCGTATTTCTGATATTTGGACAACCCTGATGTTACACTATACAAATCAAGGCTGATGTAGCAGCTGGAAGCTGATTACATACAGTAATCAGCCTCATTGGTTTTTTTTTGTCTTTTGTGGGGTTATCCCACTTTTATTACTTCTCACATTTCATCACTACATAATTTACAATTACAAGGTTTTATGTGGTACCGTGAAATATTCAATATGAGTATTTACAGAGATAAAAATCATTTTTCTTTAAAACGGGTTAGTCCATCTTGATGGCTAACATGTTACCTTAAAAGCTTTCACAATTCATTGATAGACTTTTACAGAGCAAAACTGCAACTGATCCGTTAAATTCTGATATTTTTTATAGAGCGAGTGTAAAGAACGTTCCCCTTAGAGATCTGTCTGTCGCCCTCTCCGTACTGTACCGTACTGTCAGCTGTCAGCCTCATTGTTATTTTACCAGTCAGAACCATTTTTACATTCATCATTATAATCCACTGTTACAAGAGTACCTTTTTGTTTAGCAAAT